AAAAGACATAAATGAGGCCAACAAACATATGAAAATATGCTCATCATCACTGGTCATCAGAGAAATCCAATCAAAACTACATTGGGATACCATCTCACGCCAGTTAGAATGGCGATCATTAAAAAATCTGGAGACAACAGATGCTGGAGAGGATGTGGAGAAATAGAAACACTTTTACACTGCTGGTGGGAGTGTAAATTAGTTCAACCTTTGTGGAAGACAGTGTGGCGATTCCTCAAGGACCTAGAAATAGAAATTCCATTTGACCCAGCAATCCCATTACTGGTTATATAACCAAAGGACTATAAATCATTCTACTATAAAGACACATACACGCAAATGTTCACTGCAGCACTGTTTACAATAGCAAAGACCTGGAACCAACCCAAATGCCCATGATGATAGACTGGACTGGGAAAATGTGCCACATATACACCATGGAATATTATGCAGCAATCAAAAATGATGAGTTCGTGTCCTTTGTAGGGACATGGATGAATTTGGAGAACATCATTCTCAGCAAACTGACATAAAAACAGAAAATAAAATACCGTATATTCTCACTTATAGGTGGGGGATGAACAATGATAACACATGGACACAGGGAGGGGAGCACTACACACTGGGGTCTATTGTGGGGAATAGGGGAGGGACACCGGGGGTGAGGGGGAGCTGGGGAGGGATAGTATGGGGAGAAATGCCAGATGTGGGTGAAGGGGAGGAAGACAGTAAATCACACTGCCACGTGTGTACCTATGCAACTATCTTGCATGTTCTGCACATGTACCCCAAAACCTAAAATGTAATAAAAAAAAGACTATAATTCATAATTGGTTCTGAGCATCTATCTAACCACAGCAACAATGGAAATAGAACAAATCATACAACTTGCATTATTCTCCCAAAAGAAATGCTGCTCCTATCCCAAATTCTAAAAGAAAACATGACTTGGGGAAGATGGTGCTTGAAAACCATGTATTTATTTACTAGCATTACAAAATTCCTAATATAAGTGTGATACTTTGTTCTTCATTTTCTGCACATGCTTTGATCTCATTTAATCCTCACCACTCACCACTAACATCCAATATCTACGGAGTTAGTATAAAGTGCTGTTCAAATTTTGTTTAAGAATATTATTATATACTTGGATTATACATTCTCCTTTCCCATCTGCTGCTCCTAAGTATTTCATGTTTATATGCTATTAATAATGACATTTATTTCAATTTCTAAATATTTATTGCTGAAATATTTAAATACAATTGAATTTTGTATGTTAATCTTCTATCTTGCAACTTTGCTAAACTTGATTATTAGTTAAAATAACTGTTACATAAACTCCATGGGATTATCTACTTAGAACATGAGGCCACCTGCAAGTAAAGACAAATTTAATTCACTATTTTCAATCTGGATGCATTTTTTTTCTTTTTCTTGCCTAATTGCACTAGTTAGAACGTCCAGCACAACATCAAATAGAAGGGATGAGCGCAGAGAATCCTTTCTTGTTTCTGATTTTAAAGAAACGTAATTTTTCCATTTTAAGTATAATGTTAGCTATAAATTGTCATAAATATCTTTTAAAAAGTTGAGTGTGTTTTCTTTTTTATTCTGGTTTGCTGAGAGTCTTTTTTTTTTATTCTTATTTTTTTATTGCATTTTAGGTTTTGGGGTACATGTGCAGAGCATGCAATACAGTTGCATAGGTACACACATGGCAGTGTGTTTTGTTTGCTTTCACCCCTTCACCCTGCTGAGAGTCTTAATCAAGGGTTGATGTTGTCTTTTTTCTTGTCATCGTATAGTTTTCTATGTGTGTGCAACTAACTGATCGGTACTCAGATGAAGACTAGAGGGAGAACTCTGCAGTTTTTCAGAGTCTTTTCTGTGCACTACTTTCTCTTCTCTGGTACTTCACCCTGTAAACTCTAGCTCCTTTGGCTTCCTTGGATTCCCAAGTCAATTCCCCAGTCCACGGAGACCACCAGGCTCAATCTGGATCCCTCCCACCAACAACACAACCTGGAAATTATCTGAAAGCAGTCAGCTGAAATAATTGCAGGGCTTACCTCATTTGTTTTATATCTCCCAGGAGTTATTGCCTTCTGTTTGTCTGATACTTAATGTTTTAAAAATCATTGTGTCACGTGTTTTGTCTAGTTTTTAGTTTCTGTAGGAGAGTTAACATAGTTTCTGCTATTCTATCTTGGTTGGAAGCAGCAATCTCTTCTGGATGATTTTTATAAATGCACATTCCTAGGACTTGCTTCATGCATAAATTGTGGGCTAATCATTCTTGAGAATCTGCATATTTTCAAAACTCCCCACTGAATTTATTAACAATTCTGGCTTGTAAAGTACAGATTTATCTCCTATCTTAAATCTAACAAAATCTGAGGTCTGTGGGGTGAGTTTAGAACATGACAAGGATTACGGACCTAGGTTCTATGACCCTGTAGCCACAACTTTTTCCACTCTCTCTATATGTACAACCAGTGTGTCTGCTACATTAAAGCCAATGCTGAGAAGCCTAATTTAATTTTCTATACATTTCATTAATTGTTAATCATCTAAATATTAGAAAGACCAACTATAACAGCAATTGGGATACTCAGTAGAAATTGGACACTTCTCACTCTATTGTAAATATAACATGCTTGTACCAGAGGACAAAGGAACAATGATAGTTCTATTAGATGTGATCATCATCCTAAAGAGAAAGCCATCAAAGCTTTGATGAAGTGATTATCCGCCAAGATTGCCATCCTCCCTTTGCTCTCTAAGTGTTACTGGATACCTTTACAAGGTAGCACCAGCTCAGTAATGGTGTTTCCCAGTGGTGTTGGATAGTCTTAGAAATGCTTTAAAACACAGTTATCGCTTTCTTCATATTGTCTCACAAAATTCTGGGCAACTTTAATTGCTCCCACTCCTGAATGTTTATTGTGCAGGGCATGTAGCATTATTTAGCCTTCTTCATAATGCACAGAGAATTTGTACTTGTATGAATAATACTTGTGTGCGTACAAAAGTAAAGTTTTATATTTCACGAAAACTATTGATTTGGTAATCCATTTCTCCTTTCAGTTATTCTAGAAATGTTCAGAAAATTAGAAGATATGATAATATATATTATATAATGTGAGTGTATAATTAAGAATAAATTTTGATGATATAATTTAACTGTATATAATATGAATATAGATTTATTTCTTCTTCCTGGCATTCTGCCTGGGAATATCCAAAAAACATATAACTGGTTTATATTAAATTTAATTAATATTAAACAACATCAAGTTGGCAACTTCCCTGTCTCCTGTACTGCCAAATTTCTGTTCTCATGGGTATCTAAAGTGGCTTCCAATGACTAAATATGTAAAAAATTGTTTCCACTTGGGATTATTTTACACTAAGCACACTGACACTACAGCTACAATCCTCCAGGATTCCTCAAGTTCCTTCTGACACCACTGATTTTTAGGAAGTCAAGGAAAATAACCCTTGGCAGGGCTTAATACCTCCACAGAAATGTTGAACTTACAACAAAATCTTATTCCTCTGTTCTTCAGATCATCTTCTAAATTATACATTGCCTGTCAAACTTAATTTCTAAACAAAATAGTGAAGTTTTATCATTCAGCAGTTTGATGAAGTTTTGTCATCATTCAGCATTTTAAGCACCAGTGCTATATTTTTCCTATAAGCTTTGACTGACTCTGAAGATTAAAAAAGATAGTGGGCTATGTGTACACATACAGCCTAAACTGTGACTGTCTTACCCATCTCAGTACGGACCTTGATCATGTACAAACCCAGCTGACAGTGAACTCAAGCTCCTGCACCTGAGGTTCATGAACATATTTTCTCTTAAAAGGGCTTTCTAATGGTATATTTCTCGTATTGGTTGAGGGAGAGGAGATGACGGCAATCAGAATTGCCTGGAACAGTGAGGAAGAGAATGGAGGAGACTTCAGCATATGTCGTTTGACAAGACCCTCAAGATCATTTTTAACCTTCGGCAAGTGACAAATCACAGATCCAACCAATGACCTACAGTCCTGGCTACAATTCAAGCTACAAGGAGCTTTCAAAAATCCTTACTGCCCAGGTCACATCACAGGCCAGATTAGAATCTTTGGCTTGGACCTGGTACCCATACTTTAAAGAAGGACCTTGGAAAGGCAAGATCCACAGAGAACATAGGACTTGCTAAGACTGGAATTAGTGTAAGTACTTGGCTCCCCTTAGAGTGGCCATGCAGAGAGTCCCTCTCCACTTCTCTTCAGACATCTTTAAAACAAACGGTTGCTATGCCCTATAGGGAAGACGTTATCCTTACATAAACAATTTTTTAATTGTGATAAAATATGCACAGCATAAAATTTACCCTCTTCATCATTTTTAAGTATGTAGTTCTGTAGTGTTAAGTATATTCATATGGTTTTGCAACAGATCTCTAGAACCTTTTCATCTTGTAAAACTGAAACTCTATAACCACCGAATATCAACTCTAGTTTTCCTCTCCGGGCAAACCCTGGAAACCACCATTCTACTTTGTGTGTCTATGACTTCGGCTACTTTTGATACTTTATATGAATGGAATCACACAGTGATGTGTCTTTTCTGTGGCTGGCTTATTTCACTTAATATAATATCCTCAAGGTTTATTCATGTGCTAGACAATAAAAAAGGATGATATTTCCTTTTTTAAAATTAATTAATATTTCATTGTGTGTATATACCACATTTCTTCATCCATTTACCTGTCATCAAACATTTAGGTTACTTCCACTTCTTGATTATTGTGAATAATGCTACAATGAATACAGGTATGCAAACACCTCTTCAAGATCCTGCTTTATTTTGGATAGAGTCCCAAAAGTAGATTGCTGAATCGTATGATACTTCTATTTTTAATTTTTTGAGGAACCTCCATACTATTTTCCATAGTGGTTACATCAACTTATGCTCCCACCAACAATGCAGAAGGGTTCCAAAAAAACAGGGAATGCTTCATCAATTTTTATGTCATCCTTGTACCAGGGCCATGCTAATCTTCTCCTTATCATTCCAATTTTAGTATATGTGCTGCCAAAGCAAGAACTAATTTAAACAATTTTTGATGCAGATTTTCAGAACTTCTTATTGACATATATCCTGCTGTTGACAGATATTAAAAAATAAGTCTGTATGATTTTTTAAATGCATGTTTGAATAATTTCATTTCATTTTAAAAGGAATCAGATCAATGGTCAAGAAAGTTACCAATAGGAAGCCTCACAGGGTGGATCCAGACAGCAGCATTGGCCTCATCTGGGAACCTGCCAATTCTCAGGCCCCATCTCAGATGTGCTGCGTCAAAAATTCTGTGGGTGATGCTCAGCAGCCTATGCTGTAAAAGCCTTCCAGGAGATACTGATGCATGCTAGAGAAAAAGGATTTATTTATTACAGTTATGGGGGCTGAGAAGTCTGATATTGAGGAGTTACATCTGGTGAGGGCTTTCTTGATGGTAGGGACTGTCTGCAGGGTCCTGAGGTGGCACAGGGCATCACACAGTGAGGGGACTGAGCATGCTAAGGTGCTCACTCGGGTGTTTTTTCCTCTTATAATAAAGCCACCAGTTTCCCTTCCATGAAGACCCATTAATCCATTAACCCACTCATCCATTAATCCATGAGTGGATTAACCCATTAATAAAAGCAGAGTCCTCATGATTCAGTCCCCTCTTAAAGGTCCCACCTCTTAATGCCACCACATTGGGGAATTAATTTTAACATGAGTTTTGAAAGGGACAAATATGCAAACCATAGCTCAGCCCTAACAAAAAAAAAATTACAGTTAAGGCATGAGATGCAACTCATTTGACATCACTGTCTAGACAATCTCGATTATCTCATCTAGCTCTGTTCTTTTCAAATAATTTTTATTCTAAACACTATCAATTCTATGGGGTGTTCTAAAGTTGTAAGTATTCTGTGAGCTTAGTTTCCTTACCTACAAAATGCTACTAATGTTACCTACCTCTTTGGGTTTTTAGGAAGTTTAAATGAAATAATATACTTGAACTGGTTAGACCAGCCCTAGACACAAAGTTTCAAAAACATCCTCAGTTTTAGACCTCAGTTTCTTCATTCTCTTCTCTTCTTTACATTGGTTTTATACTTTGTTGTTTTGTTTTGTTTTGTTTTGTTTTGTTTTGTTTTGTTTTGTGTTGATTGTTCACCTTGGCCCAACCGTAGCTAAGCAAGCTCAATGCTGCTTTGAGAAGTACGAGTGTTCCTGGTATTGGCTGGGGAGTCATGGTAACTGTCTGATTTCTCAGCCAGTGTTTCTGCTGCAACGTTTGTTTTCCTCATCACCCTGCTTACAAAGTCTACACATTTGTTCAAACTAATAACTGGTGCATGAAAAGGGAATTTTTTCCCTTGTTATTTAATCTGTTCTCACCACAGCAAAATCTAAATAACCATCTTCTCTTACAAAAAACTAAGCTCTGCATAGTTATGACCAATGTTTTAGTGCTCACCTAGTAGGTAGGGCATTAGTAAAGAGGTATCCATGCTAGATTACATGTAAATAGGTTAAGATTTAGTGAGAACCACACATGTACAAAAGCTTGTTAGGAAATTAGCTATTGTATCTACAGATGTGAAAACTGAGATCCAGAAAAGAAACGTAACCAAACTCCTATTAGCAGAAACAGGTAACTCATTTACAAAGTCCAGTGTAACATAAAAATGCAGGACCTTGTTTTCAACAGATTATGAAGAATTTCAAGACAGAGATAGCAGAGCATTAAGCCAAGTACAAATCCTTCTGGGGGCAGCATCCTGGGCAACTGCATGACTTGTAAGCCCATAAAGCCAGCCCTGCTTGTGTCGGAACTGATTCCAAAGCCCATGTCATTTTTCTATTTCATCACATGTGAGAGCCAACAGACTTAACAGAAAGCACAAGTTGGATCTCTGCCCTTGGGTGAGAGTAAAAGCTAAAGGGAATAACAGTGAAAACCCAAAGACAACTCCATCAACTTCGTGGTTTTGATAAGGGCTGGTTCTGATCCTGAGAAGTAGCCCACAGTTCTGGAAGCAGCACCAGATTTGAGTCAAAAGACCTGAGCTTAAACTCTGGCTTGGCAACTTTTACTTGCATAGTCTCATGCAAGACATCCAGGCCTTCTTAGCCTCAGTCTCTCCTTCACTAAAAGAAAAAAAAAAATAGTGCTGCCATTTTTTCTTAATATACTGAATGATTTATTACATGGATAGGAACATCTAATGTGTACAGTATGCAAGCATGTTTCCAAAAATACTGGCTGTGAAGCTAACCTCAAGGTCATACCTGCTAAGGTAGGACTTTGAACTATATATAGCCTCAAGCCCTACTTGCCACCTCTTGCTAACTTTGTATCCACTGATTTAACAGGTGCTAAGAAGGCTTGAGACAGAAGGAAAATCTAAGCCCTGCCCCAAAATGGGATTCTGACATAGAGTGGCAAATAGTTGAACTATAGGGAGGTGGACCGAAGACTTCAAAGGCCCTCTGGGAGAATTGCTTGAATACTTGATAGGTCCTGGTTCAACAGTTTGAGTTCAAATTATTTTTAATATTAATGGTGAGCCCATAAGTACCAGGTCTTTGCTCAAGTTGTTCCCTCTGCCTGACATCCTCTTCTCACTCATTCTCTGCTTGCCCATGGCTTCACCAGCTGTCTTCATCCAGGCCTTGCTGTAGAAGTCTCCTCCTCCAGAATGCCAGCTTGCTTTCTCAGCTGGGGGCCTAATTCCATTAACAGGCCAATGCTAACAATGTCTGCAGAATCCATGGTGTAAATTTATTGAAGAGAAAGAAAGGTTCCCAGCCAGGTGGGCTTTCAGCCAGGCATGCTGTCCTCAGAACCCCTTCCTTCCTTCACAATTGCAAGCACTCTGATCCCCACCCCAGCTAGGGTGGCAGAGGGGGCAGCAGAACTCCTGCCTTGGAGGGATGCAACCGACCATTGGTCAACTGATCAATTATTTTGGCTTTGGACTTGCACCTGGTAACAGATGAACAGAACCAAACAAAACAAAACTGGAGTAAAATAGGCCTTGCTCCCATGGCCACTGTAAACTCAATGAGAATTATGGAAGAGCTGGAGTTGGCTCTAAGTCTCCAAGTAAAAGTATTAAAAACTTCAAAAAAAAAAAAACTCTAAGACTACATAGCACCTATTTCAAAAATGCCTTTCTTCGCTTTCTCTTCCTCCCTTATGATCACTCTAAGAACCCCATAATCATGTGGAAGAGAGAGAATATAAGGGCTGTCCAGTGTTCTGGGATATCCTCTTCTCCTTAGCTATTATTATTGCCTCTGATCTACAGCATGTCTTGCAGTTCAACAGTTCCTTTCTGTAGTAGTGACTGAGACACAACCATTAACATTGGTTTGAGAGGAAGGTATCCTGTTCCAAAGAGCAAGCCATTCTCTCTTAATATAACCTGCTATGGTTATATAAGATGGGTGGCTTTAAGTCCAGTGCCACAGCTCAAGTGCTCATGGCCTACATTTATACACAGAGGAGCACACACTTATAGAGATTTCTGTGAGATTCATCAATAGGACAGGTTGGCAAGATTAGAACAGATTCTAGCATCACCCACACCTTGTACTCAGAATCTCTAAGTATCTCAGTATCTCTCTAAGATAGACATGGGCAGCAAGCATAACACAACTTTATTCTGCTCCAAAAGGTCAGTCCAATTTCTTCTTACCATTTCTTAGCAAGAAAATAATAAATAAAGATTTTATTTGTTATTTGTAAGAAGCTGGGGCTCCACCAAACCAGGGCTTCTGCCATTACTTGCTCTGCCACTGCACTTAGCTGGAGGTGGCTCTGCTCATCTTTGCCTGTCTCCATGAGATCAAGGCCATTTCACCTGTCTCTGTGCAGTGTGAAGACTGTTTCTTGAATCAGTCTGAACAAGCCTCTCTGGCCAGTAAAAAAGAGCTGCATATAAACCAAAGGATGGTAAAAATGGGGCTCAAGAAGCAATGCCATGGAATCTTCCTCAGTATGTGCAATCTATTAGATCTAATTAAGTGACAGAATCCGTTATTTCACTTTCTTTTCCTCCAGCCCACAGTAATCCAAGAACCCCAGGTTGATTCTTTTAGCTACCAGGATCAATGAGGGCTTAGATGAAAGGATTCATCCAAAAACATATTCAGTGATGATGAGAAAAAGAAAGAACCTCAGTGGCAGGAGTCATGTGACCCACACACAGAGAAGCTAAAACAATGGTATGGTCAGAGCCTAGAGGATGCCGAAGTCAAGAGCTTAGCCTCAGAGGAGCAGCAATGACAGAAATGATGACCCAGAGGAAGTACTGAATGAAATTAAGGGAGATTTCACAAAGCATTGTGAATTGAAACCTGGCCTGACATGATGAGTCCATGTGAGAACCTCCCACCACCTCATCCCACCATGAGAAATCCAGGAGACAGGACAAAGAAGACAATGGGGAAAGTGGTGAGGACTCTACAGTTATGCAGGTTATGATTGGGACCTAAGTTGCAATTTTGAAATCACAGTGTGATCTCACCACCCTGAAGATCTTAGGGTGACAATTATTTATGGAGCCACAATTATCCTGTATGTTTTGCCTTAAAAGCCAAGTTGCTTCTGTCTCAGTATTTCCAAAAATGATAGAAACTCAATGAATCATTTGTGGTTGTCTCAAGCACCATTGTTACCCTGTTCTCCAAGTCACTGCATATTTTGTTCTACTTGGTGACTGGTAGATGAGCTCTAACTGACAGAAGAATTTAAATTGCCATCTTGTCAAACACAAACTTCAATAAGTCTGAATGACTTTGTCACTGTAGGGTAAAGAATAAGAAATATCTAATTTTATCAGATGGAAAATTGCAGTGGTGGTAAGATGCACAAAATCCTTATTACTCAGCAAAGGGTCTGGGTGAGACATCAAAAACATCTCAAGGTTTTCACATCTTTTTAAAAGTCACTTCTCTTTATGTTCATGTACTGTCTGGTCTTATTTATGGTCAAACTGACTCAAAGTAGCATCTCAACCTTGCCACTAGCTATGTGACCT